TATTCCCGATAACCCGGCATTTTCACAAAGACGGCCACCCTTCGGTTCACATTAGGCCGAGTTTTCGAGGCTCTACTGTACAATTAAAGAGGCGGCGAATTTTCCAGATATGGAAGAAAGTTGTGCTAAAAATGATTTTGAACAAAGGTGAAACAACTGATGTTCCTTCATATTTATTCCGGGCAGGGGACAATTTATAATACTTTTATTCTTAATGGTCTAATTTAATGTGTGTTGTTGAGGAAAAGGAGGAAAATTTATTCACTTTTTATTTATTTAGAAAAGGCTTTAGATAATGTTAGCTTTAATAATTTATTGTGGAAAAAATTTTATAAGGTGGGATTTTTCAGATCCTTCATTATTTTGCTTAGAAATTTTTTTATTACTACTAACCAAATAAAAAGGAAATACTGTTAATTATACTTGCATAATATTTACTAGAGGTTTGTCCCCAGGGAGAACCACTAAGCCCTTTCTTGTTTATATTTGATTATCTGGACATATTTTATCGTTTTGATCTTTAGGGATTTTACTTAAATGTGACAGATGAGTTGCATTGTCTTCTATATGCAGATGATGTATTATTACTAGCAGACTAGAAGTCTGCTAGTAAAAATCCATCATCTGCAGATTTTATTTTCTGACTATATTATTAGAAATAATCTTTCTGTTAATTTTCAAAAAATAAAGGGATTGGTTTTTCGTAATAGAGAAAGTCTTTATAAAACTAAGTTTTATTAAGAACGTATAAATTACAGTCGACCCCCCCTATAACGTACGTTCCTATAACGACAATTCCTATAACGTACGTTCCTATAACGACAATTCCTATAACGTAGCGAAAAAATTGTAGCAACTTTCGTATAACGTACCTCCTATAACGTCGTTTCGTGACAAGATTGATAGAGTCTGGACAAATAGTGGATGAGCAGCCGAACTACTTTCCTCCGACCTCGCGCCACGCTACGGAGCGGCTAAATTGAGTTTGCTATCGTCTGTTTAGTATTATATATAAATTATATATAAATTAGGTACTGTATATATAATTATATATTAACTTAATTTATTGTAACTTTATTATAATTATATATATGCTTTCTGCCGCCTGGCAACATGCTACGGAGATTTTAGGCTAGTAAGTTAAGTTTATTATCGTCTGTACAGTATGTAAATTAGGTACCGTAAGTCTAATACAGCACTAATTTTATACATTTCTTGTGAAAGAAACACTTCTTATTCAACGGCCATAAAATTTATTTATATTAATGATGTCTCCAAAGGTCAAGTTATTTTTCTGCGAAAAATTCGTTATTAGAAATCGCGGCCGCCGTTTCATGTGCTGTTCCGCGATGAAAACCAGCTTTAAGCAACGGCGTAGTCGAACGGTACACACTCGGTAAGTAATCCTATAATTTTTTGTTTATAGCATAGTTTATACGGATTATTCCCAAAAAATTATACGTGTTTTGAAAATGTTGAGTGGAATTAGTCTAGAATCGGTTAATTTTATAGAAGAAAACCTTTCGAACAGCCTTAGTCCGTAAAGTTCCCACCTATCGGGCTGCGATTGGCTCATGTATTTAATCATTCTACAACGTAAAATTCGATTAGCGTGGAACGTATCTAAGCGTTATAGGGGGGTCTACTGTAATTTTCTTTCTCAGTTCAAATATTCGGGATTGAATTATTATTTTTCTGTAGTTTAATTATCATTTGGACAAAATAGAGAAAAATATATCAATAATACAGAAGACAGGTTGACTTTTGGCACTACAGACAGAAAGGAAGATGAACTGTTAAAGCGATGTTAAAGTCTAAATTGACATATTTGATTCCAGATCAGTTTCGATCTTATTGAAAAAGTGCAATTAAAACATTTCGAAAGATTATTTAAGCTTCAACGTTCAGTGCCTGCATCTGTTGTAATTTATATTTAAAAAGTATTTTGTTGTTTTGGTCTAAGATAATTGAAATTCTTCAATACGATTTTTGTTATTGCGCTTGATTCTTTTCTGAAGAAAGCCAATTTAAGTAAGTGAAATTTGGCTTTTTTCAATTTAATTTTTTTATAGTTTAGACCTTTTTTGTGTATTTTTTTGAATGGTTCAGTTACAATTGTGAATTTATTTGTGCGATTTAATACAAACTACATGTGATTAATTATGGAATCAAGATATAATTTATGTTTCAGTTCAGCGACAAAATATTTATGAAAAATGTACAAGTATACTGCCAATTACTTAAATTATAATAATGCATTTCTTATAAAAACGTTTGTAAATGAATTACGTCTTAATAAATACAGTACTGGATTGCGTTGAGTGGTCAGTATATACGTATGTCTAAAGGGCATTCTTTCCCATACTTTGTTGCTGATCAGGATTTTATACTAAGACCAAACATTTGTTAAATATATCCTCTGACGATTTTTTAAAGAATTATTTATATGATAGGAATATGTCGAAGACAACATTAAATAAATTGTTAACCTTTTTTTCTTAAATCTTTATATTGCTTTTGAAACCTTTATATGGCTGCTTATTTTCTTATTTTGTACGACCAACAATGTTATTTTGTACGACAAAGAGAGGGAGTCAATGTCCCAATGTACTGTACGGGCGCTCCTGTGCATACAGTTGTACGAGTAGAGTTGGATGCTTCCAAAAACAACCACAGTTCTGTGGAAGATTTTTCGATTCTTTATGCCTGGAACCACAGTGAATGCCATGAAGAAACTTCAGCACTGTTGCTTCTGATTGGAAGTGTTGTATCAAAATTATTATGCTATTGTTTATCCTCCCGATATAAGAAGACCATATTGAAAATATGGTCTTCTTATATCGGGAGGATAAACAATAGCATAATAATTTTAAATAATAATAATAATAATAAAATATGGTCTTCGAAGACCATATTTTATTAATATTTTATTAATGCATCGCATAATTTTACAGTGGTATCCATACAAGATTCGCGTGTTGCAAAAGCTGCACCCTCAAGATCAGGTATTAAGTACTAAGTTTCTTACTACTTAATATCTGACAAATAAAATTTCCTTTTAGACTGTGAGAAAACATCTTAAATAATACGCAATATTTAAAATTCTTTGTACAGTACGTTTACGTCCCAACTATCTAAATTGGATAATCCAACCAAATAAGCACTGCTGATCTCTTGCAAACTGCCTGAACGAATGCAAAAGTTAACTGCGTGCGATATATGCGCTTAGTGTGTTTAGTGTCGCTGTTTTGTAAACGAAATGTCCTAAAAAAGTATTGACGTATTATATTTTAGTTTGATATAGCGAAGCATACATCAAACTAAGAAAAGTTTATAAACGCTGGTTTTACGACCTGCTTCGACGTAAAATATCATGGTAAAATATCGTGATTAAACGTTTTACGGCCAGGTTTTTTATCTGTTAAGTTTATAATAAAAGCTCGGCTGCTTATTTTATAAAATTTCTTTCGTTTTCCCGTTGTATAAGAGTACATGTACTTGTGTTAATAGCTAATAAATAGATAAATATTATATTAATAAATTTTTGTTGTTATTAATATAATATGACATAGCATTTGTAGGCATTTTGATGCAAGAACTACGACTAAAATTGCAAAAAATGCTTTACTTTCAGGGTCAGGAACGGATTTATCCATTTTATGTTGTTCATTATAAGAAAATTCGTTTGTCTTTCAGAACAAATCGGTTTTCGAACAACTTTTAAGAACTAGTTACGGTCAAACCTCGGTTTTCGAACATATTTTTGGGCTGCAATTTGAAAAAATTGTAGACCTATAAACTCTTATTTTCCTCTATCCGCCCATCTGTCTGTCAGTGTTTCTTAATCTCGAGATCGGAGTTATATAGATAAAAGACGACCACATACAGAATACTTAGGGACAGAACCCGAGCTCGAGAACGAGTTCGTGAATTTATGGCCAAAACTTTAACAAATACGTTTCCGCCAACTCTACTCTCTAATTTGATATGGCACCGTGCGAATTTTTTTTGTTTTTTTCGATTCGATCGATGCCATAAAACAAAAGTGGCTGCGAATCACGAAGGGATTTTTCGCGAAAACAAATTTAAAGCGTGTGTCGAGGATTGGATTAAACGTTGAAATAAGTGCGTTGCAGTAGGAGAAGATTACTTTGAAGAAAACAAACTAAATTTTGTTGAATAAATTAAAATCTTGCATTTCTATTTAGCCATTTTTCATACTTTGTAACTATGAGGGTATTTGAAAAATTCAGGCCGAAGAAGGCCATTAGGAGGTTTTCTTTGTATAAATGAGAATTTAGGAGATGCAACTCAACATTTAATCGTTAGAAGGGTAATTTTTGACCAAAAGAAATTCAGCAATTCTCAATTTAATTATTATTTTATATTATCTACATATACCTTTTGTTAAACAACATTTTGGCCCATATGCAGATTTGAATTCTAGTTATTCTATNTACAAAGTTTAACAGAAAACAATTTTTATTTTATTCCATATACCTGGACACATACATAATTTTGCATTTCGGACATATTTGTCCCTCCTCAGCAGGTATTTCTGTATATTAATTTTCCGGTTTTCCATTATAGCTCAACTGGATATTCAAATTTTACCAACAAAAACAGAATTACTATGATTTTAGACATTTGTTCTTGTTCCATTTGACCGTTTTTTGATCGTTTCTTACTAAAATTTACATTTTAGCAAGAAAAAAAGACACTGAGGCATTTTAATTATTAAAATCATTATTTTCTTTTTTTGTCGATTGAGAATATGCTGTTCACTAAATTTTACTTATATGTGCCCTAAATAGTAATGGTGACATGGCAATTGTCGGTATAGAGACAGAGATCAGTTAAATTGGAAACCCGAAGATCGCACCCATTCTTTTATCTCTATTATTTATTAAAAAGTTTGTAGTTATAATTTGTACTAGATTTTCGGAAAGTGAACATCTTAATAATTTAAATATAATTAATTTATTTTAATTTACAGATGTTGGTGATGATGATCTCGAAGATAGTTCTACAATTATCTCTTTTAGTTATTGTTTTATTAAGTACGATCGTATGTCAGAGAAATACGCATTCAAAACTCACCCGTCGTGTACGTCGCTTTCTTTTTCCATCCAACAGTTTACTGTCTATAAAAACTGATCTAAAAATGCCGATATCACTTCCTGGTAGAATGACTGGATCGATAGATATGTCTCTTCCAATTTCTATTCCTTTATCGCGGTTTCTTACCGAAGGAACAGGAAGAGACGACAATAGGATGGAATTATTTTTTTTCCTGGAAAACTTAATTCAACGATTTGGAATAGACGGAAAATCGTGTCTCTTAAAATCAATTTGTGAAATAGCTGAAATCCCGATGGATGAAGAAGGAGTAATAGGAACCTTTATCAACGGATTATTCAAGTAAGAAAAACATTTTTCAATTTAGATGGAAATGTCATTACCTATATGAGTATAATAATTATTGTTAATCATTCTTCTCACTTTCAAAAAAATTTGTCTGAATAAAATTATTAGTCTGAAAATTAGGTTTTAATTAAATTTCATTTGAAATAAACAATAAAAGCTGTTTTGAAATAACTATGAGGATTAGGGAAGATCCTTGTACCTAGGGACACCTTGTACTTCGGGACAAACTCGTCATTTGAAAAATAATACATTGAGAAGTAGCAAGTAGGATATCTAGTAGCTATTTCATTACAACATTCAGAATGCATGACGTAAAGTCGGCCATTTTGACTCGTTTCGCCGCTCTGACACGTCGTGTGATTTTTATAGGTGTTCGTTTTTTTGCAATCCAGTTGGATCTTGGTTTTAGTCGAAATATTTTATTAAAATTATTTATTAAAATAAGTGGTTACGAATGTAGTTATCAACTAACTGTTCCTTAATTAAATTACTCACCTCTTTAATTAAGGTACAGTTAGTTGATAACCGCATTCGTAACCACTTATTTTAATAAATAAGATTGGATTTCTGTAATTCAAAAATTATAACCATTCTTTGTTATAAACAAGAGAAAATTGTACCTTGGGACAGTGAACTTTTTGTACCTTGGGACTTTTCACCTTATAATATTCTTTATTTTTAGAAGTCTCCGCACCGCTAGGCATCACCGAGGTGAACTACTGTACATAAATTAGTAACATTATTCACATTAGTTGTAATTTATACATAGTTTTATGCGTAGAATAATTCCAAGTTACAAATAAATTTTGTATTTACATAGATTATTGACCAACAATTCTTTTGATTAATCATTAAAACCACACATATAGTGAACAGTTAACAAAATTGCAATTGAAGAATTATCTAACTTACAAATATGCCGGGTACAGTAGCCAATTGAAAACTTGCCACCTACACGAAGACATACTTCATGTTTACAACTGGTAAAGATGAACAGTGTTGTCTGGAGGACAGCTGTTTGTAATACACTTTACCTTACCATAGTCCTTTTGAAATACGTATTGACAAGTTCTTTAAATACTTGAGACAGTTTTTTATCATTTATTAGAACATACAAGTTGCAAGGCCAGGAAATGTCCGTAGGCAGGGAAACGATGATGTTCTGGCGCATGCCATCTAACATGGGACACTGTAGTAAGTAGTGTTTGACACCGTCTGGAATGCCGCAAATTTCACAGTTTTCTTCTGATGACTTGTTGAACCTGTGGAGATAGCTCTGGAATCCACCGTGCCCCGTATAGAATTGGGTAATATTATGTCCAATGTCATGACTGATGAAAGTTGAAACTATGGGAAAAAAGTCCCTCGTTATGCTACTATTATGAACATCCCATTTGTGCTGCCAAATGGTCAGTGCATTTTCTTTGCGTATATAGCTGTGAGGTATTGCTGTGTAACTTGGATTGCAGTTAGCAATTGAAGCACAGCGAGCCAGCTCGTCTGGTGGTTCATTCCCGCAAACACCGGTATGATCTCTTATCCAGATGATTGCAAAACTGTTATAGTTTTTAGATATATCTTGCAAGATTTAGTTAACGATGGGGTGACGCCAATTGTAGTTACAGATCGATTGTACTGACGAACTAATATTAATCTCTTCACTGTCCGTGAAGAGATTAATATTAACTTCTTTGTAGTTGTCCTTACACCACCTTATAGCAGAGAGAATAGCCCAAAGTTCCGCCTGATATACAGAACAGAAGTTGCCTAGCTTGTCCGAGGAGTTATGGACTTCATTATTATCATGATAGACAACGACGGCACATCTTACCTCTTCTTCCTGCTTCGAGCCATCCGTGAAAATAGTAAGAGTTTGGTCTGGTCAAGGGTTGATTGCAATAAAGGGTCAGTCTTGTGGTGTCAGGCCATGTTAGTGAAGATTTTGTTCAATGATTTCAAAATCCTCGTTATTAATATTTATATCAATGTCTTGTCTCATTCTCCATCTTTGTGAAGCTAATTCAATATCCTGCACAATTGGCAATTTTCCCGCGATAACCTGCATGGCTGCTGTTGAAGGGGTAGAGTATGCTTTGCATATTATAAGTAGTGCTCTTCGTTGGGTGCTTTGCAGTTTTCTGTCTATGTGGACCTGACCAAGGCCCTCGGCCCAAACTGGGGCCGCATAGGAATTCATAGGCAAAAATACAGAATCATAAATCACGCTCATGATTTGGGGACTCAGACCCCATTTCGTCTTTGCCACTTTTGACTTCGCGTTGAAGAGCAGGTTAGTTTTATTGTAGATATTCTTCACATGGGGGTGTGAAGAACTTAGCTTGTGGTGTAGAGTAATACCTAAGTATTTCAGAGTTTGTACCACTCTAACGCTGGCACATCCAATTTTTATTGTTGGGACTCTTCTGTACAAGTATGGTGCTATGGGCCTAGTAAAACTAATCTCTTTGGTCTTATTCGGGTTGAATTCTAACTTATTCCTATTACCCCATTGCAGGATTTTCTCACGCACATCATTGGCCTTCTTTTCCAGTTCAGCCCGGGAGAAAGCCGTCACCAACACCATGGCGTCATTCGCGTAGGCCACTGTCCAGTCACTTCCGATTTTTTCACTTAGAAAGCCATTGAATAGTAGATTCCAAAGAAACGGTCCCAGTACGGAGCCCCGAGGGCACCCGAAAGTTATTTGCCGTGTATAAGACTTTGAGCCCACTTATAATGTAGCAGAACGTCCTTGCAGGTAGTATCTTATGATATTAAAGATGTAGGCTGGGCGCTGGCTTTGCCTGAGTCTCAATAGCACCATTGTTCACCAGACCGTGTTGAACGCACCTGCTATATCAAGGCTAAGACCCAGTATATATGGATAATTAGTTTGCAGCTCCTTGATTTTGTTTGTCACAGAGAGAATGGCGTCAGAAGTGCAGGCACCAGACCGAAAGCCAAACTGTTGATTGTGTAAATAATCGTTTTTCTCTAAGTATTAGATCATGCTATTCGTAATTAATCTTTCCAAAACTTTGTCCAATATAGGTAGCAAAGAAATGTTCCTGTAGTCTCAGGGTGATTTAATTGGTGTGTTTTTAGTCTTTGGGATCAGAACAATTCTAGCCTTTTGCCATTCAGAAGGAAATAAATTGTACCTGAGACAGTAGTTGTATAAAATTAAAAGAATATTCGAGCGATGTTCCCAAATCTTCCGAACAATGTCCGCAGTTATTCCATCAATCCCCGGAGCCTTACGATAGGCAAGTCTTTTAACATCCTCATCAATCTCCAAGGCAGTGAAGGGATGCGGGCAAGGACATTACAGGAGAGCGTTAGTCTGTTCCCAAATAGAGTGTTGGGTTGAGTCATCTTCTAAGGGATCGTCTTCTGGACATGTAGATGTAAAGGTGTTTAGTAGAAGGTTGATTGTGTCCTCCATGTTTGTTACTTCGCCGTCATTAGGACTAAGGCTCGTGAGGCAGGAGGGAGTCTTTAACTTGGTCATACAACTCTTATATACAAGTCCCCATGGATTTGTATATGCAGAAGAACAGTATTCTTTCCAAGAATTAATTTTTGCTTGTATAATAGCTTCTTTGTAACTTGCCTGATAGTTTAAATATCGTTGCTTTAAAGCAGTGATTCTCAAACTTTTTCGATCCACCGCCCCCTTTGTTCCATAAAGTTATACCCAACGCCCCCTAACCCATTTTCTCTTGTGTGAGAAAAGGATTGGAAATATTCTTAGGAAAACTTTTCTATGAATCTCACACTTTTTGCCCTTACTGTACATTGTTCTCATCATCTGGAAACCATTAAACGCAATGTTTCCTCTTATCAGCCCCAATTTTGCCTTTGGTCACCGTTCAATACCCTGCCTCTATCATAGATCTATTCATCGCGCCAGAAGGGGGCGTTATTGCTTACTTTGAGAAACGCTGAGCTAAAATAAAAGTCAATGTGTTAGAAATATTCAAGTTGTGACCTTCAATAAAAAATAAAAAATATATAAAATGTCAACATTTTATATATATTCCGTCGAATTTTTATATATAGAATTTGTCTGCCGTCGCCCCTCTATATTTCCTTAACGCCCCCCAATTCTCTTTGAGCCTTCTACTGCCCCCCTGAAAGCCTCCAGCGCCCACAAGGGGGCATTATCACCCACTTTGAGAAAAGCTGCTTTAAAGCATCCCTTTCTTCATTTCTGCAACGTTGAAAAGCATTCGTGTTCTGTTTATTTATTTTCCGCATATTTGTTAAATTATCATTCCACCATGGTACCCCTTGTTTATTAGGCCTATTAATCGGAAAGGACTCATCGCAAACCTGAGAGATCATGTGGATCTGTGTGTCAATATAATTCACAGCCGAAATCCTACTATTAATCGAGGGATAGAGATCAATTCGATCATCTAAGCAACTGAAGAAGTTGTCTCAGTTGGCATTAATGGTTCTGTAGATCTTATTATTATTTTTGAGCTGTTATCGGCTATACTGCCAATCTGAAAGTCTATGTACTTGTGGTCAGAAAGACTATTTTCGCTACAGACACTCCAATGATGGATTTTGTTAAGGATGTCAAGTGATACGCATGTTAGATCAATCCAAGTCCTTCCGTTCGGGCCTTCAAAGGTAGGAGGAGAGTTACGGTCATTAACGACAACTAGCCCATTTTCAGCCAAAAATTCTTCTACAGCTACTCCTCTTGGATCCAGATTTTCATCCCAAGTAGGTGACTGGGCATTAAAGTCCCCGGCAATCACAAATGAGCTATCCTTAAAATGATTCTTAATTTCCTGTATTATTTGCAGTTCATTATTAATATCTCCCTTACCTGGAGCATAAACGTACCTTGGGACTGTCCCAAGGTACTGTGCATGGCATTGCTTTTCTCAACTATTTATTTAATAGTATTTTGTTTACTTTTGTTGTTATGTTTCCGTTGGCTGCGAAGAAGTGAATAAAGAATGAAGTAAATAAAAATG